TGTTCTCTAATTTTAATTTCACCTTGTTGACTTAGAAAATCATCTACGACTTGTGTGCTTGAAAGGTAGATGCATATTCTTCCGTTTGACATTTTGGATGAGAACAATACATTTTTTGGATGGACTATAGTTCCTACTGCAATGGTGTACTCTTCTGTTCTTATTTCATCTACTGCCGGTAAAATTATGGCCTGGTTTTTTGTTGGGAATTTTGTTAATGGTTGTTGCTTAGTGATAGTAGAATAAGTAATGTTTTGCTGATCGGGATTAATTGATGGACCCCTGTAGTCAGAGGTACCACCTGCCATTTTGTCTAATTTAATTTTCTATCTTTATTTTAAATTTAAATTGAACTTTCATTTCAATAATTTTAATTTGGGTAGGTCCGACTCTGTTTATTTAAAAGTAAATAGTCGATCTAGAAATTAGCAAGATAATGCCAAGAGTTGAAACTAGTTTTTTAAATAATTAATAAATACGAAATATAAATAATGTTCTTCGTATGTATATATAAACAATGTTTGTAATCAAACTACTGCAAATTTGGAAACTGTACTTACAGCTTATAAATAGACCACTGTACACTGCTTCTATATATTTCGTTTTATTATTTAAATTTACACTGTTTCTTATCAAAAACTATAAAAGTTTTGGAGCTCAAAATATTTCGACTTGTCTACCTGAAATTTCAGGACCGGATGATAAGTTAGATTTTAAAACATTAATTTACACTAAATGTAAAGGGAAACAGACGTGTCCAAATTTTATTCTAATTATAGAGGTTGTATATCTACGGGCAACCGAATAATTTTTAAACTAGTATTCAGTAGGCACTTTAGGTTGAATCTTCGCATATTGGGAGGAAATGTGTTTGCTGGATTTATTCTATCCTCGTTTCCATTATTGTTCAACATTATTTAAAAATATACTTCTCTTTGCTATTTATAGATTTTATGAAGTATTTTTTAAATTTTAAAGACGTAACTGTTTAATTTGAAACATTACAAATTACGCATGAACATGCGTAAAATGCTCTGTAACCCCAAGCTATCAATCGCAATAAGGTTAAGAACACTAAAGTGTTATGTGTGGTCTCTACTACTATATAGCTGTGAGACCTGGACATTAAAACAGTATGACGTCAACAAACTGAATTCATTCGAAATGTGCCGAAATGTTCGAAATGTACCGCCGAATGCTAAAAATAAGCTGGACCAGCAAAACTACAAATGAAGAGGGCTGGAAATAATGAACACACGACCTCATCTGGTTAATACAATCAAAATTAGAAAGACGTCACATCTAGGACACATAATGCGCCATAAGGAATTTGAGCAGCTCCAGGTAATATTAGAAGGCAAAATCCAGGGTAAAAGGGGTATAGGAAGAAAGAAGAAATCCTGGCTCCGAAACATCAGAGATTGGACTCACACAACAGGAAATGACTTAATCCATCAAGCCCAGAACAGAGAGAAATTTGCCATATTGATCACCAACCTCAATAGAGAAGGCACTTAGGAGGAGGAACTGTTTAATTTAAGACTTGGACACATTTTTGCCTGAATAGCTGTCAGTACAGAAGTGAGTCAAAAACAATTACTACAGACCTGTTTTGTGTATCTTTAAAATGTAATAAAGCTTCGTAAATTGCTATTTCTTCAGCGCTGAAAATTGAAACGACATTATTTAATTTAAACATTTTTTCTATGTTGCTTGATGGAACATAAAAGGCACATCCAGTGCCAGAAGTGGCCTTCGACGCATCTGTGTGGATAATTGCGAATTCTGCCCAATCTTCTAAGAAACTTTTTAAAGTATTGGAACTAACTGCTATATTTTTATGATAACTTGCTATAACTACTTTTGTGGAATGTAATAAGGAAGGGAAAGCTTTAAAGTTTAAGCTATTATCTGGGTTTAAACCAGGATCAGAGTTCGATATACTGCGAAATGGTTTACAAAGTGAAGAGGGTGAATTCTTAAGTTTCCAATATATTTTGTTAGATCTTCTTCATTCAATTGGCAATTTGGCATATATTTATATAAAGAGAAGGATCTTTCTATTGTTTTTGCTTAGAAAATCTCTTCTATATTTTAATTGCTTCTAAAGCCTCAACATGTACAGCATTAATTGTAGTTGATTTCATAGCGCCTAAACAAACTCGTAGAACTGTATTTTGCATGACATAAATATTGTGCTTAGGATCCAATCAGATGCAGAACCATATACTATATACCCATAATCTAAAATATATCTAATATAAGCTTTATAGAAAAGTAAAGATGTTTCACCTTCAGCTGCCCACCAGGTTTTTAAGATTGATTTTAGAAAATTTAATCGTTTATTAATTTATTACATTTGTTCGGCATAAACTCAATATGTGATTTCCATGTTAGTTTGTGATCAAGTATCATCCCCAAATATTTGATGGAAATTTGGAAAATATACTTCTAATTGCTTACTTGTAATTTATCCATTTTTGGTAATTTATGCCATGTAAAAATACAAACACTCGATTTGTTTGGAGAAATTTCAGATCTATTTTGATCGAACCAATTTTTTGACAAGTCATGTATTTTTCCTAATGTTTACTTTATTAGCACAGTTTAATTTAATTATCACAGTTTTTGAAAATTTAGTAAATAATAAAGTCAGCAGCATAGTATTGTCTTCAAAGTACAGTTTTCAATGTGACTGTTATGCAAGTCAGCAGTATAAAGATTAAATAATAAAGGACTTAAGACTGATCCTTGGGGCCGTCCTAAATTATTGTATCGTGGAACTATGAGGCCACCAGTCTTGATCTAAGATAATTATTCCTACAGGAGTAAAAATTACAAATTGTTTCTGCTAACCAAAATGGTATTTGGAAATTGTTGACTAATTTTTCAACTAAAATATCAAGACATACACTATAATGTGCTCCCTCTATATATATACCTAATGCAGGTAAGTAAGTGTTATCCATAAACGTGTTCTGTCACTACTAAAGTTGTAATGGCATCTAAAGTGCTTCTTCCTTTTTTGTACCCAAATTGATGATAAGAATGTAAGTTCTTTTTCCTAACCACCATTCCAACTCTGTTTAATCATTCATTTTAAAGTTTTAAGCAGGTACGACATAAGAGATGTAGGTCTATATGATTGGACCAAGTTGCAATTTTTAACCAGGTTTAAGTATTGGTATGATGGAGTTTGAGGGTTCTACCAGAAAATGGTTTTGCTTATTTGAAACACCGCTGTAGCCTTTAGGTAGACGGACTGGTGTAGAAGCAATTTGATCAAAAATTTCGATGTATTGTTAAGACATGTTGTATTAGAGATAGATTTTCTATTTATCTTTCTAGCTTAATTTCACAATGCTGAAGAAAAAGTATTTGTTTAAGTCGGGGACAAAATTTTCCCAACTTTCTTCAGCTATTGCTTTCAATTTTTCTTACTTTTTGTCATGATATTTTGACATTTCAACTAATTTTTAAAGTTTGGGTTTTGTTTATAATTTGAAAGTACTCCTTTTCTCTCTTTGATAATATCATCGCAATTTGTATTGCTTCATGTCGGATAATTTCAAATTTTGCCTTTATATTGCATTGCATTGCTTTATATTGTATGACAATAGCAAAAGATCCGCTCAGATGTAAGTTAGTAGTTGAGAACAACCCCATCAGTAGTCAGATCAACAAAGCATCCGCATTGTCAGAATGTCTGCGGGAGATAGTCTGGTCAAATCCGTATATGCGCATAGATAGTAAAATTAGAATCTACAAAACTTACATATGACCTATCATGATATATGGCATATAAGTGCGCGAAGACACCAACAAAACGAAACAGATGCTAAGGGTTGCCGAAATGAAACCCTAAGAAAAATAGTGGGAAAAACAAGAAGAGACAGGGTGAGAAATACAAACGTTAGAGAGCAGTGCAAAATTAAAGATATTATAATATGGGGAATGTAGCGTAAGAGGATGTGATACAATCATGTAAGACGAATGAATGAGAATAGACTTCCAAAAATTGTAGTAGAAAACAACCAGCCCGGTTTAACACCTCCCGGAAGACCATCTAAAAGATGGAGGGATAGTTGGCAATCTACCTCCCAGGAAATTAACCAGAGACAGCTTCAGAATTAAACAGAGCGAAAGATCTCCAAGAAGTAGAAGAAGAAGAAGAAACTTTATATTTCGGAATTGACAGTTGAGCTGCATAAATTATACAATTAATCAAACAATTATATTTCTCTGACGTATCTTCTATTTGGTATTTCTCTGACGTATTTGGTGAATTTCTTCAGGTAAATTCGTGTTTCTAATATCTATATACGTTTCTAATATCATAAAATGATTTGATCCCAGAGTATCTGGATATATAGACCAATTAATTTTATTGACTAGATCGGCCGTAACAAATGTAACATACATAGCTGACTTATTTTGATCTGGTTGGGTTAAAATAGTAGGTTCTCCATTATTAATTACTATAAAATTGAGATCATCTTCAGTTTTAATAAGTTGTGTTGTAATTGTATCATTATAACTAGATCCATAAATTGTTTGATGAGTATTGAAATTTCTAGCTATAGTTAATGGGCCACTGACCTGTGAGAATTGTGTGTCCAATAATTTACTGTCCTTTTAGATTTAGGAGGTTTGTATATAGATAGAAAATTTAGTTCAATTGTTTCAAATTTAATTTTGCTGTCACATACATCTATTTTGGTATCGAAGTTATGATTAAGTTTTAATTCACTGAAAGTATTGCGAATTAGAATTGTAACTATTTTGTCAAGAATATATTTTATCGCTATTTTTTTTGTTTCGTTTTGTATAATAGTTTTATAAATTTGTCCTTTAAACTTCCGTGTGTTTCACGGCGCATTCAATGTTAGGTATTGAAAACAAATGGTTAGTTTGGCCTCACGGACCTCTGAGTACAATATTACTTGGAACCACCTACTTCCTATTTTTATATTTGATTCTCACCATATAACTTATTTTAGAAAGGTAAGAGAGGATCAAAACGTGACAGCCAGATTGGAGTTAAGGAAAAGACTGAATTGTAAATCTTTCGATTGGTACTTAAACAACGTTTGGCCGCAGCATTTCTTTCCTAGGAATGATAGATTCTTTGGGAAAATAAAGAATGTAGGAAAGAATATGTGTCTAGTGAAACCAGATCAAAAGCATCTAATGAATCAACCGATGGGCATAGCAACTGTGGACCTGTAAGTAAAACATATTTTCGTTACTGTTATCTAATTAAGAAAACTCATTATGTTTAGTAAGGAAATACACATAAAATTTTATAATAAAATATAAAAAGGCTAATCAGCCTTTCAACGCATGAAGGCAACTTCTCAAAAATTCCACCTTATGACTGGATATACCATTTCTATTAGGATTCAAATATGGTTATATGAGTAAATAGTACGAGACTGCTGGAAGTCTTTTTTTCAAATTTTGGTATTTCAAAGAGTGCCAAGAATCTCGTTCATACCACTCAAAACGAATGAAAATGTGTTACTTTTACGCATTATTAAAATAAGTAAAATAAGTTATCTAAGATATTTATTGAGGTAAGAAGTAGAAGTGTTTTATTGAAGCGAAATCTTTAAAGCAAATTAAAAAAACTTTACCTGGGGTAGAGGTGTAGCTGACTGAGTGGATTTAGTAGGTTAGGAGTTTGCATTGCTATTACTGCCGGTCCTAAACCCGTACAAAGGAAGATGATTCACGGGTGAAGCTAGTAACATTCCTGTGGCAAAGAAGAACATTGCTCACAGAACTAGTAGAACAGCCCCGGAGATCGGACGGATCAGATGACAAAATGGTACGAAAACGGAAGCGAATTCGGAAGAACAATATATTAAGACTCGGAAGCTGGAACGTCACATCCTAGAATACCAAAGACAAAGAAATCATTCAAGAACTGGAACACCATAAAATAGATATATGTGCCATACCAGAAACTAACTAGAAAGGTAAATGCGATGTAAGATACTAAAATCATATACCTACTATTCTACAGTGGAGTTGAGAAAGATGCTCGAGCTCAGACAGGAGTAGCAATACTACTTCACAAGAAATTTGAAAACAACATCGAAGTTAAATAATATGTAAACCAGAATATAATGGAGGTTACGATAAATGTGGGTAGAGAGATCCATTTTGTAAGTATCTAAATAACTGATATGAGCAAATTAATGAAAAGTATACCATACGTAATGGGTAATTTTAATTCGCGAATTAAAATCGCCCATTGCGTATTGTATAATACCACCATACCAGCAATTATGCAAAGATTCAATGAAGGATAAACAAATGAAAATTGAGAAAAACTGATAAATCTGTGCACCCATAATGAATTAGTATAAACAATACACACTTCGACCACAAGCCACAGCATAAATCTACATTTAACGGAGGCGAAAAAAAATTGTACCCTAGCCACATATTTGATGTAAAAACGCTATCGTCAGTAAATCCTATGTTAATGCTAGTTTGGTCTTATGCAAAGCACGAATTATGGTTCATAAATCCACGAAAAGAAGAAAACCGAACTATATAACAAAATTTAATGTAAAATCCTTGGAAAATCAGCGTACTAAAATCCTCTACCAAAGACAAATGGAAGAAAAGGTATCCCGAAATTGCTTAACAGAAATAGACAGCGTTATAGAATCCTATGAAAAAACAATAAACCATGATTTACATATGAAGTCAAGAGCAGCTAACAAAAAACTAGATGCCTACATAAGATACATGAGCAACAAAATCCGGAGATATACAAAATTTATATAGAAATAAGCAACAAAGTAAACTGTGGGATAAAGAAACTAAAGCAAACATACTGGGGAAGGTTCTCAGTAGAAATGTATGAAGGTCAAAAGAAGGTATGGAACATGCTAAGGAGAAGAAAGAATAAAATAAATGAGGAGATACAAACAAACATTATAAAACCTGAAACCTGGACAGAATACTTTTATTATCTGTACCATGATACTGATATATGCACCGAAGAACAAGACCAAAGTAACGTAAATATAGACGAAAATATTAACAGTGGCAAAGATGTAACTAGTGAAGAGGTGCAAATAGTAATAAAAAAAATGAAAAACAGAAAATCGCCAAGAACTGATGGAATCCATAACGAGATTATTAAGTAAGGTGGCCTAGAGATCTTGACAGAATTGACAAAGATATTTACAGAAGTTAATTAATACCATAGAGTTCAACAAACTCTTTTTCCCGTACTTCGTGGATCTTAAAAACGTATTTTACAATGTCCAACTGAAAGACTTAATTCAAATCATAAAGCAGAAAAAAGTTAATAAACACACATGACAATAATCAGGGAACCTAAAAGTCGTAATAAAACAAGAATAAAAACGAAACGTGGACTGACCGAAGAACTAAACGTATCGGCAGGAATCAGGCAGGTGATAGCCTCAGTCCGAATTTCTTTATCATGATCATAGAAAGCATGAATGAAACCAACATTGGCTTCAAAATGGAAATCCGAGCTTTGAGTATCCTCTGCTATGCGAGTGATGCAGTAATCATTGTAGAAAATGAAGATGACCTCCAACGCCTACTTTACAGGTTCAACTAATAGCACACAAGTTAAACATGTTAATATTCCACAAAAAGACCCAACCAATGGTTATAGCCAAGATCTCTGTAAGATGTAAACTAAAGATTAACGAACACATAAATACCTCGGAGTAGATTTATCGTAAAATTTACTGCAAAGGAAGTGTAAAAACAAGTCAACAAGGTAGCCAGAATATCGGGATACTTGAGGCATATTATTTGGAGGAGCACAATATGTGAGCGTAGAGAACAAAATCCGTATATACAAAGAATGTGCAAGGCCCAGTACTAACATATAGGGAAAAAAGACCTAAAACGTCGGTTACAAAAAGATTGATGAGAACTACAGAAATGAAAGTGTTAAAACGAATTAAGAGATAGAATAAAAAATTGATGATACATTAAGAGAAACTTGAGTCGAAGATCCAACAATATCACTAATAAATCGTATTCTTAAATTATTCCTGAAAATAATACATGGTCGTATAAATAAAAAACTGGAAGAAAGAATAGATGATAGTCAGTTTGGGTTCAGAAACGGACTAGGAACCAGAGAAGCGTTATTTGCTTATAATGTGTTAGCTCAAAGATGCATGGATATGAATGTTGATGTGCATGTTTGTTACGTTGATTTTGAAAAAGCATTTGACAAAGTAAGACATGAAAAATTAGTCCAAATTCTAAAGACAAAAAACATAGACCATAGGTACTTACGAATAATAACAAACCTCTACTGGAATCAAAGATCACAAAGCGTAATAGATAACGAACCCAGTCAAGAAATTGAAATCAGGAGAGGAATTAGGCAGTTATGGATGGATGGATGGGAATTAATGTATATAATGACGCCATTTTTAAAGAAGCATTATTATCTCAAAGTGAAGGAATAATAATTAACAGAAGATGTATTAAGAACATAAGATATGCAGATGACACCGTGATTATGGCAAGCTCTGCTGAACAACTCCAATTACTGCTAAATAAAACAAACAGTTTCTGTGAAAAATGTGGACTAAAAATGAATATAAAGAGACCAAATACATGATAATGACAAAGAAAACTAATATACCAACAAACATACATTTGGGAAATGTACCGATAGAAGGGGTTGATAAAAACAAATACCTAGGAACCTGGATTTCAGACACTAATGATCAAACAACCGAAATAAGAGCTAAGATAGAAATAGCAAGAAATGATTTTGTAAAAATGAAAACAATTCTCTGCAACAAAGATCTTAGATTAGAACTGAGAGTAAGAGCACTGAGATGCTACGTGTTTTCGATCCTGTAATATGGACTTGAAAGCTGGACATTGAAGCAAGAACACATAAATAAGTTACAGTCCTTTGAAATGTGGTGTTACAGGAGGATGCTTAGAATAGCATGGACACAGAAGAGAACACTGAAGTATTGCGAGAAATGGGCAAAGAATGCGAAGTAATAAACACAATAAAAATAAGAAAGTTACAATATCTGGGACATGTAATGAGGGGACAGCGATATGAACTGCTAAGGCTGATAATACAGGGAAAGATAAGAGGAGGAAGGAGTATACGAAGAAGGAGAGTGTCATGGTTGAAGAATTTAAGGGACTGGTTTAAATGCAGTTCTATAGAACTCTTCAGAGCAGCAGTAGATAAAGTAAAGATAGTGATGATGATATCCAAACTCCAATTGGGAGACGGCACTTAAAGAAGAAGAAGTCCATGATGTAGTGAGATGGAATAATCAAGAAAAGGGTAAAAAGACATAAATCCAATAGAAAAAGTCCACTAGGAAGACTCCGAAAAGGTGGTATGGCAACAAAACATCAACATCATAAGAGCTGTGATGATAAAATCAAAAACCGATAAGGGGTATGACAGAGATTTAGTACGTCAGTATCCTGTAGTAATTAAAGTCTTAGGTATCCAAGAATATCATGGAATGAAGCCGTACCTGAATTTATGTAAGAATGAAAAGGCATCTCAGTTTCACAGAAAAGGAGATGTCCTATGTCCTAAATAGATAAAATTATCAGGTTGTGTACAAAGTGACAATGAAAAATGATATATGTGCGTAGGAAATGTTACTGAAAAAAATATAGAAATATGTGAATAAAAGGGTTGACAATTGACAGAAATAAGGATAGATATAACAAAAATGAAATCTGAAAATGAAAACTTTAATGAACCATGAAAATAAGAATCGACGAACATTAAGAATATTTTCGGATAATACTCAGAGCAATAACTCACTGGATATCGAGAGATAAGAGCTCAACCAAAGATACAGTTGAGAAAAATGGTAGTAAAACACATATAAGAATAATGAAAAAATGGACAAAAGCGAAACACATTTTATTTTGATGATAAGGAAGATATTCCATTTGAATTTCTCAATGATCAGTAGTCTAAATAAATCTCTGTCTTGAAATGACAGTGTAGTCATTTGCCAGTTTTGTTGTAGTCTATTCCTTGTCAAAACAAGTAAAAAATAAAAACAGGAGAAAATTACAGGGTGTCTTTATCATCGGTTAGGCACTTTTCTGAATTGGTTAGTAGGTGTTGTGCACGTGATATAATTATATTTGGCTATTGTTCATTAATTACATACAGTGAATCTAAAGTAGTTTCCCACATGATTGAAATCGTTTTTTGTTCTAGATGCCTCTCTGACGACGTGGAGATTGAAATGTTTGTAATGACCAAAGACGGGTTTATAATGACTGATGATTCGATTTGTCTTGATGGTCCAGAAAAACCTAAAACCGGACTTATGAAAGTCAGAATTGTTGCCTGTCACGGTTCTAGTAGGCAGAAGTGGGAGTATGACAAAAAGGTAACATTATGTCTTTTGTTTTAATATATTTATATGCGGTCACCGTAGTTCAGTGGCTAAGATTAAAGCATATCAAGTACGAGTTCAATTCTTGGCACCGAAAACAAAATTTTTAATTGCTAAAAATTATGAGAGCCGCCACCGCGTTCCGTAGGACATGTAAAGCCTTCGCTCCCGCTGACCCAGTGTGCATCGATACTAGTTACCTGAAAGAGGATTAAAGATGTAGTTAACGCCAGAACCTGTCCGAAAGAATCTGCCCGGCAAAAATGCCGGATTTTTTTTGATATTATATACATACGTATACCTAATACCTGTTATAATGGAATATTTGAACGCGATTATTGACAATGATCATAGTATTAAGTATTTGTTAACTAGTGCTCTAAATAAATCTGTTATGTAAGTGTCTTTATACTTTTATTCAAAGAAAAAAATTTGAAATGTAAGCACGCTGTAAAGTCCGTGTGGCGTTGTCTATCGCCCATCGTACATTGGTCCTTGGACCGGCGGGGAGGTGGGAAATAAAATATCACCAGTGGACCAAAACAAAGGTATGGCAACTCTAACAGGAGAGTACCTGGCCCTCCAGGTTGGAGGTAGGGCTAAAGGGCAACAACATGTTCCTCTAAAAAAGTACTAACCTAACCTAACCTCAGAAACATTAGCTGTACTGAACTAACAACAACGACTCTGCAAACAAAAATTGGAATTGTGATTGGAACATGGAATATCCAAACCCAGTACCGAGCTGGAGCACTCATATCTTTACTTAACATAGTGAACACATACAAAGTAGATGTTTTAGCATTGCAGGAAATGCGGTAGATGGGAACTGGCACTCTTGTCAAGAGAACTTATTCCATATATTATAGTTGTAATGCAAGTCAACACATAGACGGAGTGTGATTTATTGTAAACCACAGAACAAAAGGCCTTATTATTTACTTTAAAGCCAAAGTCAGTATTATTTGCTTTACAGTCAAAGAATGTGCTATTTGCGATTAAAAGGGAAATTATTCAATTACAGTTTAATCAATGCACATACTCCCACTGATGACAAAGCGAAAGAAATAAAAGAACAAATTTGCGAAGACCTAGGGCAAGCAAACAGAAGATGTCCCAGAAATGACACTATTAAATTCTTGCATTCATTTCACCTATCACAAGATTGTAATAGGTGACATGAATGCAAGAATAGAACGAGAGAGAGTTTTCATGCCCACTAGGAAAGCATAGCCTACACAACATCAGTAGCGATAATGGATTACGACGGATAAACTTAGCAGTAGCACTAATCATGACAGTCGCTAGCACCTATTTTGAACATAGGAATATATACAAGGAGATCAGCTTCAATGAAAAACTACCGGGCAATAACGCTACTATAACTGTGGCATATTGTGTATGACCGATTGAGACCATATGCGGAACAAATAGTTGGGGAATATCAATGTGGTTTCTGCAGGCAGAAGTCCACAATACATCAGATCTTCGTCTTGCAGCAAATCTTGGAAAAGATTAGTGCATTTAATATAGACACACGAATATGTGTGTTTCCATCGAGAATTTCTGATTCATGCAGTGAAAGATTTAATATTCCAACTATATCATAGCTAGAAGCGAAAGAGAGATGATAGAAACATTTCATGCGATAGAAAGAGCGGCACAAAACAGGGGCCTAAACATTAATGAAATAAAAACCAAATACATGAAGGCCAGCAAATCGACAGGCCAAAGAAACCTACAGAATTTGACAATAACATCGAAACTCTAACTCTAACATCGAAAGCGTGAAAAATTTTACATATCTAGGTTCACCAGTTGCCGCAGATAACAATGTCAGTAAAGAAGTTAAGAGAAGAATACATATCGCTAATAAAACATATAATGGACTAATTAAACATCTAAGCTCTAACAACATCACAAGAAAAACCAAATGCAAAATATACAAAACCCTGATAAAATCGGTCCTTGTATATAGATCAGAGACATGGACACTTTCGAAAAGCGATGTGAACCTATTAGGTACGTTTGAACGAAAAATCCTTAGACACATATATAAGGGGGTGAAAGAAAATGACATATGGCGTAGAAGATATAATTTTGAATTATACGCAGTATACAATGAACCTGAGGTCATAACATCCATAAAGATCGGACTTCTGCGCTGGATGGGCCATGTTGAACGGAAGACTGAAAAACCAAAACATATAATGAGGCAAACACCAGTAGCGAGAAGGTCAAAGGGAAGACCCAAACTTAGATATATGGAGCAAGTGGAACAAGATCTGAAAACAAAGCAAGGAACAGAACAGAATGGTGGAAAATCCTAGAACAAGCCAGGACCCAGAAAGGGTTGTAGAGCTACTAATGATGATGATTATAAACAAGGTAACCTGGACCTCTCCTGATGGAAGAACAATGAGTCAGATTGATCTCATCTTAATAGATTCAAGACATGGGACAGAGTTAATAAACCGATAATACAACTTCAAACTTTATAGAGTATACCAGGAACCAGATATATATTAAGATAGGATGTCTGAGGTGGATAGGGCATGTAATACGGAAGAAAACTACTCAGCTATAAAAACGCTCTTTAATAGACCCATAGGTCGAAGAAGAAGAGGAAGATCCAGAACAAGGTTCCTTTATAACATAGACAAAGACATGAGAAATATGAGAAAACGTGCTTGGCGTAGGAAGGCGAAGGATAGGGACGACTGGAGATAAATTTTTGAGGAGGATAGCACACACGCAGAATTGTAAAGTCAGAATGTTGATGATGACTAAAGAAAAATAACTTATTTTTATGAGATACGTCAGAAACAACACATATAATGCGTAATCAGAGTAGATGAAGAGCAAATATCAAAATAATGGAATCCGAAATAAAGAAAATTGCTTCATTTATTCTTCATTAAAGATATTCAAAGAACAGAAGAAGTTACCGTAATGAAGGAAGAAGCATGTTCGGTGTAATATTCTGGTACATAGTAGAAAGTCATTTTGAATTAATTATTTCCTTCCCTAAATTCTTCTTTAAAACCAAATTTATTTCTTCTGGTACATATTAGGAAGTCATTTTGAACTATTTTTTATTAAAGAGAAATATGGGTTATAATTGAAGGTCATTATATATTTTGATTTGCTACCATGAGTGATTCGAATAATTTTGATTTATTAAAGTAAATTTCTATTCTTTTCTATATATATATATATATATATATATATATATATATATATATATATATATATATATATATATATATATATAGAAAAGAAAAGAAATTTAATATATACTTATCTTATATTTTTACACTTTTTTGTATTTCAGACTAATGAAATTCGCCACGTATCTAATAGCAAATGTCTAGACGTAAGAAACTCCACAAAATTTGCTCAAGAACTCGTCTTAAATGAATGTGATCGAAGTAATAATCAACAATGGACGTTAGAATCAGTGCCTTGGAAATAAAACTTATTAAATATTTTTAATATTTAAATCGTTAATTAAACATTTTTCATTTTTTTATGTCTTTTGTTTTGGATTTTTAATACCCAGTACCCCGCACATGAGTGGCTCCACATCTACTGCGATGGATCCTCGATACCGGACTCGGGAAGAACAGTAGCAGGATATGTCTCAACGTTCTTCAAAGGCTCTATAGCTGTGGGTGCCCCTCCCACCAACTACGACGGCGAAATTGCTGCTATACACGAAGCTGCAAAAAATATTGAGAATTTCCAACACCCCCAAAAAGTTGCCTTCTTCATCGACTGCCAAGCCGCAATCCTCGCCCTGTCGACAAATCGATACTCTGATAGATCTGATTACTCTACAATGGATCCCTAGTCATGTCGGTGTTGAAGGAAATGAAGCGGCGGATAAACTTGCAAAAGAAGGCACTACTCTTCCACAGAACCCTAGCTTCCAATCGTACACATCAGCAAAGTTCACCATTAGAAGAGAAATCAAAGCGAAGATAAAAGAGCAGCAAATACAAGCCGGTGCTGGAAAATATTGGGCCCACCTAATAGAGTCACCAATCCCTGGCAACTTGCCGAGACCCATTAGTTTAGCCGTGTTCAGAACAACTGCGGGTCATGACTACCTGGTCTCCCATCTTCATCGCATTGGCGTCCGCGAAAATGACAACTGTCCACTATGTGACCAGCCCCAGATGGATGCTGCTCACCTTTCAGAGTGCCCAGCCCTAAAAACAAACCCACCCGAGGAGGATGAAGATCGCCTACGAGAAACGGCTCGTCTATACTGGTCAGCCCGCCACCAAATGGCTAACATGCCAAAGGTGGGCGTTAGCTAGTAAGTAAGTAAGGATTTTTAATAAACGAGCAAAATTTGCTCCTGTAGAATTATCCATTATACATATGTTGGCTCCTGTGATAAGATCCCGGCAGTTTTCTAAAATTCTGTAAGAAATAAAATACCAATTCATTCAACTCAGGAACTGAACTACATAATCGTCTAGAAGAGCAAGGGCGATAGGGCGAACTCACAGGCACAGGCTTTATTTGCGTTTCCGTTTAAGGTTCGCGCCTTCTCCTCTGTAACCGTATCAACGCGCCGGTGTTTCTTTATTTGATAAGAGATACTCTCAGATATATGCGTTGTTCTTGATTTTTTGGGTACCATAGTGTGCTTGTTATAGTTTTAATTACTCGTATTTCAAGAAAAAACCGACGTTACATTAGCCTTAAAGTTGTTTTGTTTTTTTCTGATTTATTTTCAAAATGAACGCCGAGAAAAACAAGGAGGAAGCAAAAGAAAACGAAACGTGTTAACTTGTGTAAAACCAAACGAAACTGTGGTCAAGCGTACGTTTCAAGAAATACGAAGAAAACTGTATCTGCGCGCACAATTGGACTGCCATGTAAGTGTCGTAAAATATGTTTTGAAAAGGTGGGTATGAACAATATCAATATGATTTTCAATAACTTTTGGAAAATCGGCAACTACGATAATCAAAACACATATCTTTCACAAGTGGTAAGGTGGAATCTTTGTAAAAAGTCTTAAATTACAGTAGGAAGCTTCGGATCATAGAATATAGTCTTCCAATAAATGGATAAAGAAAATGTGTTTGACGTCAGACTTTTATTACCATCCATGGCATAAGCGAAAAAAGAGTTCGCGTTGTTTTAGATAAGCAGACCACCACAGGAACTGTGCTAGGTGATATCACATCCTGAAGAACAGCCTGTGATAGAGTCCTACTATTGAAATACCTTTGACAACGAATTCAATATAGGTGTTCAGCCTCCTTTTGTTGATGATTGTAATGCCTGCTCTAAGATTAAAGTTGAACTTGATGGCTTAAAGACTAGCAACCCGAATTCTTCCAAAATAACTGAATTGGAAACTGAACTGAAGGCTCATTTATCAAAGCAGAAAGCTACTCAGAATACGATGAAAAGCAATGAAAGCAACCAGGATGAAAATACTGAAGTTGTATGTATTGATTTTCAACAAGCATTACCCACGCCTAAACTTACCTGTAACGTACAATACTACAAAATAATAATGTGGACTTACAACTTGGGAATCCACAACGTTAAAACAGGAGCAACCGTCATGTATGTATGGGATGAACCATCGCTAAACGTGGATCGTGCGAAATAGCCAGTTTTCTTAGTCACTACTTGGAGAACTTTGTTATCAGGCATGTAAGAAAAGTTATAATTTTTAGTGATATCTGTGCCGGGCAACATAAGAACATAATCGTTTGATCATCAGAATCAAATCGCTTTGATCTTATTAAGCACATTTTTTAATGTCAGCGCATTCGATGATGGGATCTGATCGAGATTTTGGTTCAATTAAATTAAATATTAAGGACTGTGAGGTATTTTCTATAGAACAATATATCTATTCTATTACACACACTAAAAAAGGACAAATTCCAAGTTGGTAATGTCACGAGGGAAATGCTTAAAGATTTCAGTATTCTTCAAAAAGCAGCAACTAAATTTTGGGAGCTAACTTTAAGGATGGCAGAATATTCGAATTTTCAAAAGATTTAAGATGGGATTTAAAATTCAAATCGTATGTAACTCGGATATTCCTACAAATGTTATACTCCAAAAGGGACGAAAGAAACTTCACGATGTAATAAATTTTAACTTAGATAGTATAGAACTTCCTCTCAAATCCCAGGTTGCTCCCAAGCTTACAGAAGAACAGAAAAAGGACTTACAAGATTTTCTTGATTATGTACCCATGCCTCACAAGCGTGCTTTACAAGAAGCTGTTAGTGGAGGAATTAGTACAACTGAAGTCGAAGAAACTGTAGACGATGAAAATCAAATCGAGTTTAATTGAAGCATTATTTGTGAATTTTGCAAATTATTTTCCTGCTATTAGCTTCCACATACTTTGTTAACAAAACTATGTTTATTTTTGTAAAATATAAAATATTAACCCCTTTTCTTTTCATTTTATAAAAATCTTGCAAAATCCTCTTTTAATAACGGTATAGTTTTATGGGATTAAGCCACAATTGGTTGTAATCATAATTAATTTTTTTTTATTTTTTCTTTCTTTAAAAAAATTTAATTATCATTACAGCCACTTGTGGCTAAATCCCATAAAACTATACCTTTATCAAACTTGTCACAAATAAACAGCTTCAGAACTTATCCTCTATTAAGTTTTGTTAATAAAATAAAACTTGTTCGCGCTTAGTATGCTAACACGTTTTTTAAACTTTATACTCAGTTTTCCAGAAACGTTTTTTTGCAGTTCTTCTTTACGTTTCCAAGCTCCTGATATATTTAGCTACAATATTTCAAAATTACTTCCGCTGCGCTTGTATTAAGTTGATGATTGATTTCTTTATTTGCAAGAATAGTTAAGTACCTATATATCATCAAACTACTTGGAGATGGCTACTTGGAGAGTTTTAACTATGAGTGATAATCATCAAAATAGATAACAACGCAACCCTGATTAGGTAACAGATTGTAAAGTTTCAAAATAAGCTTTGGAGACAAAATTAATCTAGATAAAAATACATTGAAAGTTGAATAAAATTATTCGCAAAAGGTAAATTTAATAGCAAAAAAACACTAAATAAAAATGATGACAGCAAACTAGAACTCCTCAAGGTACTACTTTATTAACGTTACTCAATGAAAAATAAGATACAAAATTTTAAAATAGATAATAAATTCTACTAGAGCCCTCTAGTAGTGAAAGCACAAATATATACCCGGCCTTTAAAATTTACTGTTCCCGTCACATTTATAATTTTTACACACAGATGTCGCCCATGTAAAGTTTTGAATTTTCATTACAGTAATCCCCACTTCCATTTCCCAAGTTGTAGTAACCAATGAAATCACCTCAAATAGCGGCCATTTTGTTGTTCTCCGATACTAATCGAACTGATACGAAGTTTCGTAATAATTCATTCCATTCCATGTCGCTATGTGCTATGTATTTTATTTATATATTCATTCTCATTCGGTTTTTCTCTCACATGGTAGAAGTTGGTTGAACATATTTGTGTTTAGTGAAAATAAAATGAATATGAATGCTAGTTATGTTCTCTTATACACAAGAAATGTCAGATCTAACAGAATTGTCGTGGTGTTTGATTCATTAGAAAAAAAAATGTCATTGAGAAGTGAAATAGTGAATAAAGGATTACCTTGCTTCATTTCTTATTTCATAACTAGGCTTGAAAAATACTATCTGCCAATTCGTTAAAATTAATTTTTCAGTTCTTTTTTGTCTTATAAAGTGAGATTAACTAATTAACTCACATGAAGTCGTTCTTCTGTAAAAATTGAAGAAACAACTTTTTTATTGGTTAAATGCCATTGGTGGTCATAAAATTGTGAAATTGTCTTCCAAATATCCAAATATTGATTTTAATAAAAGAACTAAGCGATGTAACAACTTACTTTTAAGAATACGTTATTGGATGGTTCTACTAGCGTTCAGAATTAGTTACACAATATATAACCTTCTTATATTCCTGGTTTTGCCCATTCTTAGATTACGAAATGTTGGTGTCTTAAACTTTATTATTTATTGGAAACTCATGTTTAATATTTAACTAGTCAAACAAAAAAATAAGTATATGTGACCCCAAGTTAGTCATCAATTCTGATAACTTTCGAACTGCTTAGATAAAAAAATTGCTGAAAACAATAATTTAAGAATTTCTCAATTATATTACGATAATAAAATCAATATATTTATTGTCTCTCTATACTTTTTTTCTATAATGGAAGAACTAAACAGGAAATTATTCTTTGATGGAACCTTGTAATCTTTCATTAAATAGAACCAAAAAACGGAAATTTACGACTTCTCATTGTTTAATTTATGAAGATTAATACAATTAATATATGACCAGAACTTCGATATATTTTTTTCTTGGTTTTTGTTACGAATCTAACTTTTTAATGTTTTTCTATTTAATGGTATTTTTTGTTAAAAAGTAGAACTTTTTCTAAGAATCTAGTAGAACTTTTCACACTGCAACTTTAAAATCTTTTTT